ATTAACAGTTTTAGAGGTCTTCTGATTTCAACAAACGTCTTGTGTTATAGAGAAAATACTTGATTTCCTTCAGTCCCCCATCTTCCATTGTCCAGGGGTGTGGAGTTCAGCACTACGGAGCTCAGTGAGCTTTATGGCAGTGACCACCCCACACACACAAGGTCAAGCACGACATTCCCTGACGCCCCATGAGTGGTGTATCCCATGACGATCGTGGCATACCTGTACATTCTCATCTCTCATTTTTCCTTAGCACTTAGTAGGTACACAGGACCTACCATGACTGATCAGGCTCTGGGAGCTTTTGGGTTTGTTTGGAGATTAAAAATCCCTTTCCTCAAAGCGTTTACCATCTGTCTGGACGGTCATAACAAGTTCATTCATCAACAAGGATGCCAAATACAGGGTCCCGACTTCGAAAAAAGGAAAAGGGGATAAAAGCCTTTAATATCATCTGGCCCAAGCACCTCATTTTGCAGATAAGGAAACTGAGTCTCAGCTCCAGGAACTCATCAGTGAGAGAGGCAAGATTAGAGACTATGATTCAAAGTCTAATGAGAGGTAAGATAACAAGTTCCGTAAGGAGAGAAAGCTGGCCTGGAGCAAGGGAGGGGAGAGGCCTGGCAGTTGGTGGGAGTTTGCTAAGTTTGTTAGGGGAGAGGTTGGGGCAGGTGTTTAGAAACGGCAGGAACAAGAGCAGCACAGAGGTGAGGACGTGGTGAGTAGTGGGGGCCAACAAGCTGAAATGCGGGCCTTCCACTTGGGAGCTGGAAGAGGGAAGTCTGGAAAGACCCAGAGCGGGTGAGGCAGTGGAAGCCCACCCACCTCACAGGGCAGGGGGGTGAGCCCAGGGCTCCCACCCCAGCCTTACCTTAACGCTGTGCAACGTGAGGAAGTGACTCAAAAGCTCTGCCTGTGGATCCCTTCACCTGTAAAGCTGGGACAAGGGACAGCACCAAGCACATCTCATAACTCTTATGAGAGTTTAATGACCAAGCAGAAGTGTGGCTGGTGGTTACACATGCACGCACTGCTCCGTGTAGGATATGACAACAAACAAAAGCAAAAGCTCAAGGAGCTCCCACTCTACCTGCAGGAGGCCAAAACTAAGCAGGTAGACAAACAAGAAAATTTTCTGGCAAGACATGCTAACGCAGAAGACAAAACGTGGTTGAGGATTACCCTGGAAGCTGCCCAAGCACCCAGCAGTGTGCAGCGGACCCTCCGCCAAGGCTCACTGCGCTCTCCCAGGCTCCATGCACTGGAAATCCACATTTTCTCCTTGAGCCAAGGATAAAGCTATAGAAACCTTGGGAGCTATAAAAGCTTCTGAGTAAAGCAGTGACGAGGCACCAACACAAGACAGCCACAAGAACTATTTCCTGTGATGACTGTCTTTGAGGTTGAGTTCTCTCTGTTCCCGCGAGGGCCTCTGGGCTTCTGCCATGGTCCACTCACCTGCAACTGGCCACTCCTGCTGACCCTTCTACAGACACTAGGTGTCCTTTTGTCACCTGTGAGCACCCTTCCCAAGCATCTTCACCAGGGCTGCTCAAAAGCAGCAAAAAATGGCTGTTTCAATTCCCCTGCTCTTCCTATAGTGACACTAATGAAATTACATGAACCGAACGAACACCTGGGGAAGAAACCATCTGCTTCATCCTGCTACGTCAGTAGAACCAGTGTTGTTTACCAGCAAGGTCAAGAGGATGGGACACACAAAACCTTCCCAGGGACCTTTAGGGGAGAAGGCCCTGGCGGCTGGAGGGGGGGATGTTATTAACCCCTGCTGGGAATCACTTTGTTTCACAACCTCTGGTTGGAAGACAAAGCTTCATACATCACAAAGCACAGGGTGAGGCTTATTTGCACAGTGTTTTCCACATAAAGATGATAAAGCGCCACGCAAGAAGTTACTATAAATATTGTTTTAGAACTTTCCACTCTGTAGAGGAAATACCTAAAAAGACTAGCTGAGTTCAATAGTAAAGTTGGTTGTGGAACTAGCTACGGCATGGAAAGACTGTGGAGCTTTGAAAGGCCAAGGCCTTTCAAAAGGTTAAACTCTTAAATAATGATGTTTCAAAGGCTATAAATAACGACAGCCAAGGAGAGTATGGTTTGGTTCTCTGTTCGGTGACATAGTTACAGAATTTGCATTTAAAATGACTACTTTGCCTGCCTCCATATTTTAAAACAAAAGCAGTAAGAGAAGGCCCAGGAAATCCAATCCCCAGAGAAAGGCACGGTCATCCCAAAGGAAACTGCAGGGACTTCTGGCCACATGCCCTGCTCCTCTGCGTGGCAAATACAGCTGAGCAGTAAGAATTCTTTCACTAGAGACACCCATCAAAGGAGGGATCACATGTGGGTGAGGAGGACACATCCAGGGTCAGACAATGTCCTTGATAAAGTCTCAGCAAAAAGTTTTGGACCAGAGTTTTAAAGCAATTATGGAGAGCTGAGTCTCCCTGCAATCCTGTAGTCACTTTCTTCCGATCACTGAGGAATGAGTCACCACGGCCGGCCCTGACGCCTTCCAGCTGCGAGATGGCCTGGCTGTGGCTGTTCTTATACGACATAAGGTAGCAATTTAGAATCAGCTCCATCAATAAACGCTGATATCTGGCTTTCTTACAGCCAATTAAGGAACACATCTGTTGCCCAGGGGTTGAGAAGGAACATTCTGACCAAACTAGAAAAATGAAAATAAAGCAAGAATGGATGAGGCACGTGAAAACTAACAATGGCATTAATACTACTTATAAAATAAACTCACTCTAACATTCAGTCAGTAAACATTTAATTAGCACCTATTATATGCCGGCACTGTGCTAGACACTAGAGATACAGAGATAACAGGCAGGACCTCTGCCCTGAGATGCCAGCAATGCAGTGCAAATGCCCAGTGATACTATTAATCATGTGTATTAAGCTCTTAGCATATGCCAAGAATTGTTCCAAACATTTTATTTGTATCGACTCTTTTTTATTCTTATATAGTATAAGGTAGGGTTTATTATTAGCCTCATTTTATAGAGGAGAAAACAGATACAGAGAGATTAAATAACTTGTCCAAGCTGAACAACGATCAGTAGGACAAGCTGAATTTGAACCCAGGCAGTACAGCTCCCCCCTGGTAGGTATATGAGTAAAGAGGTCTGCAGAAAGGAAGAAAAAAACCCAGCCACTGCCTGAGGAAGTAGGCATCTCAGTAAAACTGATAGGGCTTTGGAGGATGCATAGGAGTTTACTGGAAAGAATAAGAAAGGCCCCTTCCAGACAAAGAGGTTACAAATGCAAAGCACAGCCATAAGAAATTATAAAGAAAAATAATTTTAAAAGATGAAAACACACTTTTATCACTATTTCTTAGGCAGGAAATTCTCATATAGTTCCTAGCTAAATAGTAGCTAGGAATGGAGTCGTGATGTTGTCTGGCGTTGGGAAACTGAAGTACTGCAGTTGAATACAACACAATGATCCCTGTAGTTAACACATGTGCCAGCTCCTCAGTCTGAATGGTTATGGGAACACCATTTAATAGAATGTGTTGCTAGTGACTTGGGCTCAGAAGTCCTTAACAGTACCAAATAGGAAACACTGAAACTAAATACCTTGCTGAACCAGTCTGGCGACAAAGAGAAAAACTGGGGAGGGGAGGGGAGGGGCCACATGTTCCAGAAGGCCTAATTCCAGCAGGACGTCAGGTGCTCTCCTCAACGTATCCTACAATCTTAGATTAGCAATGGCTTTGTTCACCAAAATACGAAGACGTTCCCAAGTCCTTGAAAGATATGAACCCCACAACAAGAAAATTAGAAAGACACAAAGGTTGCTGGCAACGTGTGATAAATTGGTGGTTTTAAACATAGTTATTTTCGGTTTATCTTTCCAAGACACTTAATGTTAATTCTCACGCTCTGAACACTGTTCTTCGAAATAAATATAATTTACTGAATCATATCCCATAAATAATTAAATGAAGGGTCACCAACGCTAATAGACAGATTGTCTCCACTTTAAAAACAGGTGTGTTCCCAAAGTTTGTTTGTAAGTTGGCCACTTGGGATTCAAAAGTTATTTTCTTCCCCCACAAACAATATTAGATGTGATGTCTGGTACCCAAAAAACTAGATCCGAGGTGTGCTAAGAGTTCTCCGGACCTGACGCAATGCGAAGGGAAATGCACTCACAGCTCTAGCAAGCCCGACGTGCACTGCTTCCTCTCTTGCCTTGGGAACAAGACATGCTCCAGCTGCACCTAACAGGTGGTGGCCCCTCGACCTCTAGCAGGGGCTATTTGAGGAGGAGGCAGCGGCAGGGGCTCCAACTGGAGAGAGGGGCCAAGGTTGCTGGCGCCTCCTCTGCCTGGCTCCCGGCCACCACGCTGTCACTTTCTGGCCCCTGGCACAGCGACCTCTTCGTGTCTAGGGCTGCCACACTGTGGGCTTGGATCCAGGCTTTTCTACAACCCCACACCCCACCCTCTGAGGCCACAAACATGGTCTCTTCCGATTTTCAGCCGTGAAAACATAGATATGGCTCTTTGATGATTTTCGCAGGGCTTTTCTTGCTAGTAATCTGGACATAAGTGGGACACACACTCACCAATGTAAAAGAGGAATTGCCTGTGATGAGCACCTTAAACTGGGATCCACCCACAAAACCACCCTCCCCTCCAATTAAAAGTCTGTATGTTACATACATAACATATACATATGCATATGCACTATATATGTACTTGTACATATGAAGGTCATAGTAAAATGCAAGTGGCAAAGCCACTGACAGCAGTGGATGCGTGGTTCACACGTAAATCTAAAAACCAGACAGCGCGGAACCCGAACGGGTCCTCGGGGCTGCTGGGGGTGGGGAGGGAGGTGCTGACACGCAGGCCCTCCAGCCGCGTCTTGTCGCTGAACTCAGGAATGAGACGACTTCCCCCCATGCCAAAGGCTGCCCACACACTTGGGTTCACAGATACACCCCCAACTTACTGGAACTTCAAATGCCTCCTGGGTGTCATCCAGCATCTGGATTTTGATGGACATGAGTTTCCCTGAAGGGGTTGGGGGCGGCTTCTGTCCACGTTCCAAGGTACTGATCCCCGAATTCTCTGGGGCCCCCAGTCGGGATCCTGGGGTCGGCCTCTGCTCTATTTCTCCCATGATGAAAGTCGCTTATATCTGCAGGAAGCAGTGAGAAAGAGAAACACATCAGAAGAGGAGCCTCGTGTAAACCACTTAAGCCGTTCATCATCTTCTCCCCTTGATACCGGAGTTCCCCTGAACCACACCAGGGCAGGGAAGCGCTCTGTCCCCTGCACAGGAATCACATGTGGCGAGGCTTCAGTTCACTTACAATGTCACCTTTAAGCACTCAAGGCACAGAAATATTTTTGCATATTTTATGCTTTTGCATATTTTTGCACCGTGTTGCATATTTAATTCTTTTCTAGTTTCACAGTCAGCTCTTAATTATTCAGCGTCTACAATGAGCTAGGCAGTACTTTTTACACATTAGTCTGGTGGGAAGATGATAAACAGTGCCTAAGCCATATCATTAGCATCCATTAATTACCTTTTATGGACAGAGTAACATGCTAGGTAATGTGGTTATTATAAAGATGAACAAGTGAAGCACACACTGCGGTGCTCGAGCTTCTAATCTGAGCGAGGAAATAAACACACGTTCTCTACAGACACAGGCAGCATAAGGCAGGCTCTTTTTTCTCAATTTCTACTGCTCGATTCTATTACGATAACCTCCTAATTCATTCTTTCCTGCCACCCACCCCCCAACTGTTCCTGCTTTCCCAAAAAGCCATTCTACACACTACATTTAGTGTAGACAAAGTTATTTTCCTAAAAATGCAAAACTATCCTCTTTCCTCCCCAGATAGTCCACACCTCTCTCTCCCCTCCTGCTGCCTCTGTCTGGCTCCAGGTATTCACATGCGTGGTGCTCTCTGGCTGAATGCTTCGCCCTCTTTCTCCACCTGGAAACTTCCATTGCTTTAAAACTCAGTTCGAATGTCATGTTCCGACACCTGGGGCAGAGTGCGTGTGCCGCTGTCCCCTCTGCGCTCACGACTGTGTCAGAGCCCCCGTGTGTTTCCTACCTACCTGCCCCATGGCACTATGATCACCCGAATATTCAATCTTGAATATTCTTTGTGTCTCAGCACCTCCCTAGGCATGACGCCTGGCGCAGAGTGGCGTTCAATATTGGCTGCTAACGACTGGACCACTCGGCCGGTACATTTGTCCATGGCTACGTAGTAAGTGTCAGAAGAACACAAAGGGCCGGGCGCGGTGGCTCATGCCTGTAATCCTAGCTCTCTGGGAGGCCGAGGCGGGCGGATTGTTTGAGCTCAGGAGTTCGAAACCAGCCTGAGCAAGAGCGAGACCCCGTCTCTACTAAAAATAGAAAGAAATTAATCGGACAACTAAAAATATATAGAAAAAATTAGCCGGGCATGGTGGCGCATGCCTGTAGTCCCAGCTACTTGGGAGGTTGAGGCAGGAGGATTTCTTGAGCCCAGGAGTTTGAGGTTGCTGTGAGCTAAGATGACACCACAGCACTCTAGCCCAGGCAACACAGTGAGACTTTGTCTCAAAAAAAAAAAAAAAAAAAGAAGAACACAAAGGAATGAGATTTCCACATGAGATGAAGTGGTTAAAGCAGGAGAAGGCTTCCACCCTGGAGAAGGTGGGAACCGAACTCAATTCAGTCTCAAATGTTTGATAATACTTGGAAAGAGACAGACAATACGCAAGGAAAAGACATTCCAGGGAAGCGGAACAGCATCAACAGTGTTACGGGACAGAAATAAGATGGCATGTGGGAAGGAGAGTGAGAATCAGTGCCGAAGAGTTAAAGGTGTATTTGGAAATAGGCTGAAATCAGATAACAGAGGACTTCAAATGCCTGGCTAAGAAACATGGTCTTTACCCTGTAGGCAGCAGGGAGCCACTGGGATAAGAATAAAGGCACAACGAAAAAAGAACTATAGAAAGATGAGCCTGAAGTTGGTATAAACTATGGAAAAAGAGAGATGGGAGGGTGGGGTCTGGGCAACCAGTTACAAAGCAACCACAACAATGCACACTTGAGGTGACAACTTGGACAGCAGCAATGGAAATCAAAAGGTGGTTAATTTTTCCAACTTCGTGGAAAAATTGTTAAATGGTTAGCGAAAGAGGAGACAGAAATCCAACAGTGATCAGAAAGTTTCAAATTGGGGCAGAAGGGAGGAGGCAGGAGGGGACGATGTGAGAGTTGGCTTTGGGACACTGTTCAGGGTTGTAAAGGGACATCCCATGGGCTGTCAGGGGGGTGGGGCTGGATCTGGGCTATGGCTCAGGGTCCACCTCGCCACACCGGTGAAAGCTGTGAGGATGAATGGAAGTGGCTGAATGTGGAACCAATAATGGGAAAACAACCGCCGTGCCCAGTCATGACAGTCATTGGAGAAAGAAGATGGAAAAGTAGAACAGGCAGACAGACCCAGGGGGCACTCACCGACAAAGATGCCACAGAAAGGGGCCACGGAAAGGTGCCACGGAGCCACGTGTGACGCAAGCAACAGGGCTGAGTGCTGCATCTCACTCACCTCTGAAAACAAGTCGCCCTCCAAGCTCTTCCCTTCAGGAAAACTCATCAGGTTGTAAATCTCATTTTGTAGCGTTTTCTTGCCAAACTCGTTCTCATCCTTCTCCTGAAGAGTCAAGTCCCCACAAGTTTCCCAACAAATTCCTCACTCTCCTCTTAGTGAAACCTCAAACGTTCTCACCACAGACACGAGGGCTGGCCCTGAGGTCTGCAGATCAGAAACTATGGGGTCACATAAACGACCTGGGGCTCAGTGACTCTATCAGCAGGGCCTAAAAAGATGTGTCTTTCAACTGGACAGGGAAAGGTCGGGATCACTGAACAAGAGATACCTGACTACTTATTTCTCCCACTCTCACCTGCCCTAAGGACTCTCCACCACAGCCTTTTTTTTTTTTTTGAGACAGAGTCTCACTCTGTTGCCCGGGCTAGAGTGAGTGCCGTGGCGTCATCCTAGCTCACAGCAACCTCAAACTCCTGGGCTCAAGCGATCCTCCTGCCTCAGCCTCCCGAGTAGCTGGGACTACAGGCATGCGCCACCATGTCCAGCTAATTTTTTCTATATATTTTTAGTTGTCCGATTAATTTCTTTCTATTTTTAGTAGAGATGGGGTCGCTCTTGCTCAGGCTGGTTTCGAACTCCTGAGCTCAAACAATCCGCCCGCCTCGGCCTCCCAGAGAGCTAGGATTACAGGCGTGAGCAACCACGCCCAGCCCACCACAGCCTTTTAAACTCATATTCATTCCTTACATAATCCTTTACAATTGGGCTTCTACAACAAGGCAATACTAGTTTCAGACCAGCCTTTCTGAGAACTGCTCCTCCTTTTTTGAATGTCTGATTTCACAGATCTGTTACACAAATGCCCTTCTCATTTCTGACCCAAATAAGCTTCTCACCAAAGTAGAAAAGAGATCATCAATACTGGTTCGATGAATCCAATGTGGGTGGTGACATATTCATTATGCAGTCAGTTGTGTTCAAAATAATCTTCATAAGGCAGGCAAAATTACTTCCATATACATTTTCTGTTTATTGTCTCATGGTTAAAAATAAATGCAACCTCCAGGGAAAACTATGCCATTAGTCAAGTTCGCCTTCCCCGTTCCCAGACTCCTCTGTGCACTTCTCCTTACTTTGGTGCAAACGCTTCCTGCCCCTCGCTTCACCGCCTCTTCCCTGCACTCACGCAGAACGGACAGGCCGTGCGCTTGGTCATTCGTGCTGGGCTTTGGCTCAGCCTCCTACCTCTGAGTCAAGGAGGAGTGGCCTGGATGTGGCTCCAGTGCCCGCCCAGGGAGCTCATGGCAGGAAGCAAGGGGTCTATTCCCCATGTCACCCCAGCTCAAAGGTGCCAGGTCCCTCCCCACAAACACATGTTCTCCTTGTCCCACCTAAGCAAAGAGCAAGACGCCTCATCCTCTTTTCTTTCTCTCTTGCCAAAGATCCCCCCAGTAAATATTTATTCTAATTTTTAGCACCTTGTCCTTTAAAAATCTCATTGAGTTAGCAATGAACAGATATTTTGCACCTTCACTTCCTTTTTCTTTAGTCCTCCAATGACCTCGTGCCTGTATTATTTCTACTTCTGGATACTGACGTTTTAACAAAGTATGCCACACTTTCTTTTTGTTATCATACTTGCATGCAGACTACTGCTGTACATGGAAAGGTCTGTTTAATTCAAGCATAAATCCACCCAAGCGTTTTGAGTTGAACATCCTAAGAACGCCAAGGGAGCATCTCAGGAACGCTGGCAAGTCATAAATGGGTAACCACAACGCTCGGTATCTAAACTGGTAAGCCCAGTAACACAATGCCATCTTCTAGGTAAATAAGTCTGACAAACCTAACGGTATAAATATTAATCCAGTGTATAAATATTAATCCACACTCTATTCTGACTTTAACTCCATTAACTTCCTCAGACCTCTGAATTCCTTGAGGAATAGTCAAAGTAAAGGAGACTGATATTTCTTTCTTTGTGATAGATTACTAGTAGCTGATCATTTCTGACCTCAAAGTAAAAACTGTTTGCAAAACTACTTTATGCTTTACCTCTATTTGAAAAGTTGCTTTAAAAAAGTGCCGAGGCTTTTAAGCAGAGAAAAGATAAAAAACTAGAGTTGTCTTGTCATAAGATCCTGACTTAAAGACTTCCTCTTGGAATTCACCCAAAAACAATAAGTAGTAGGCAAAAAAAATGCAAATTCCGTCCCTGAGGAAACTAGAAGACATCTGTAACCCCAAACCACAAAATGTGAGAAAGAGTTGCCAAACTGCAGTGAAGGTCAGATGGAAGAGAAGGAAAATGCTTACAGAGGCCGTGCATGCTGCAGATCTCGGATGAAAACGGGAGTGCCACATTCCCCCAAATCAATAACAAACCAGCAATAACTGTCTTGGAACCAGGACAGATGTGCAACTTAGCACAAACAGTTTCCTTGGGCACAGTGAGATATGAATGAGAAACCACATGGCAGCCATATTTGTAGGAAGCAGTCTATTGCTGAGGTGAGGTGACAAGGACAGAGACCGCATTAGGAACTCCACCAAGGTTTACTACCAAAG